AGTCATTTCATATCCTTTTGTTTTCCTATGATATGAGGTGCAAGCAACAAACATTATTAGTGCTTAATTACCTTCCTTTAAAAAAAAGGTCAATTTGGAAATGAGGATGAGGTTATATCATAGCATTTGTGTGATTTGAATCTTGGTAAAAATTAGAAGAAGAGTATACTTTTTAACAATTATTTTTTATTTTTTAATTTATTTCATTCATATATTATATAATTTAAATTTAAAGTCTTTTATTTCTATTAAAAAAATATTACTAAATTATTTATATTATTAATAATAAAAGTCTATTTGCTTTTTGCCTTTAAATTTTTTCAAATTAAGAGGGAACCTTTGTCTTGGACTAACAAATGGAGATGGATACAACAACATGGAAGATGAAGAGCTATTATTAAGAGGAAGCGCCGTGCTGCACTAGCGGCCCCAATATACTACATTGGCAGTAGAGGAATATACTATTGTTTTGGGAGAAGTCAAGTACAGTAGAGATCATTTAAAGGAGAGGAGAATTTCTTACTTTTTGCAGTTATAATTTTGAGTATTAGATGATGTTAACCCCCAAGTATGCCTGGGTGATGTTGGGAATGGGGCAAACATTTGACTCGGTTTTTGTGCAATAGGTCCAATTATTTATCCTGATGTCTTAGACCATCCTAAATAAGGATACGTCCATACCTTAACCCAGACATGTCAACGTGGGTGGCAACACATGAGTTAACTAGATATTGGCACGTGTGGTGTGGCCTAATATCATAAGGGGTCTATAAATACTTTCATCTACCTCCACTCAAGATATTAATTCTATTGTGTTTCTATTTTTGCAGTTACTTCACACAAAGCGTTTTTTTTTCTACAATATCGAATATTGTTAATTTGAGTGTATGAGTGTTTTCCTCAAAAAAAACATTTTCAAAATTTTTAAGTGTTGAAGTAGCTAAAGATCTTTATTGTGAAGGTTTGTGAAGCTGCCTAAATAAGTGATTATTGTAGATATATAGTTTACATACAATGGAAAAGCTTGTCTTTTTCCAAAAAAAGTCTATTTGATTTAAATATACATACATATATGCTTGCAATACCTTAATTTGATTGGACGATATATCTTTCTTCCGCCTGCGGTCCATTTTACTCAAATGGAAGGTTTTTGACTTGTTTTGGATCAAAGTTAAGAAGAAATCAAAGGTCTTCAAGAGCTCATCATGTACTTTGACTCATTCATGTTTATGTAGACCTCTATATATGAAGATTTACAGTTGTCTTCTCAGGTGCTTTTCTTGTATTAATTTATCAGAGAACGGGCTGGACATGGGAAGGGTGTATTAGAAGAATTAGGGGAAAAGGAAAAATTACATTCTCCGTTTAGCTTTTGAACGGCTTACATTGACAACTAAACAAGTTGCTGAGAACAAGTTGACCATGTCAGATTAGAAGAATGTTAATTAGCTAGAACGCGAAACATTGGTACGCGTAGGATGCCGATAATCACGCCACTGCATCTTTCCAGTTATAAGTTTGCGATTATGCATTTGGATCATTATTTGTACAGATCTAGCTCACCAATAATTGCCAAACTAAGCACAACTCCTCTGAGTTCCCAACATAACAAAACATTTGAATCGTTAGAATTTTTTTAGACTTTTTAGACTACTTGCAATATAAATATATAATATAGTAATAACCTTAATGGGGTAACTCTACCATTAAGAACTTGAGATTTTAATTTGAAAATCTCAAGTTCGAAATTTAAGCCAATTGGAAAGAGATTTAAGAATAAAAGAGGAATATTCTTCTTATATAACACATAATTAGAAGTAAAAAAAAAATAAAACAGTAGTTATAGGATAGGAGAACTTAATATCACAAACCTGTTTTGATTTATGTTGTATAGTTTTAATGATATAATAATTTAATTTCTTAATATTGTATAATGTTCAAAAAAAAGAATTTATATTGTATAATTTGGTTCTTGCAGCTGCGGACCACTTTTTTGTTTACTAAAAATAGATAAATCAGCCCTCATGATTCATGAAGATGATAATAATGGGCTCAGGTTGTCAGTCTGTACTAAATTTCATGGGCTTTGAAAGAAACCAGCAATTGGATCAATTAACGAGGCCCATTCAAGAGTCCCAAGACATTGAAACCCATTAAACCCAGTTCTAAAACACTGTCGTTTCTCATGTTTCTAAACGACGCCGCTCGGAAACGCGATACAAATTTGTGGGACGCAATTTTCTTCTTCTTCCTTCTCCCTCCGCCGTTTGCAGTTGCTTAACACTTCAACTCCGGCGGCGAAGCTATTCAGTATGTTACCTCTTTACATCTTTTACTTATGTATGCATTCGTTGTTATTGGTTTCTTTTAAGAATTTGGTTCTAGAAAGTATTGTCTCTGTTAATGGATTCTTGATGTTGTTCTTTTATCCCAGGAACCATTTTTCTGTCGGTTGCTTATGGTTTCTGTAGGTTCGAAAGCTCTACCATCAAGAAGATCCAAAGACAGTATCTTTGTGGAAGATAGCTTTATGGGTGAAGAAGATAAGTCACATAAACATAGCAGAAAGAAAAAGGGCATGGGGAGGAAGCCCAAGAAGGGGAGTTTTGGTTTTGATGGAGATGGTTCTAACATGAATGTATCTGGACGTGGGGTTGATGGGACAGCAAAATCCAAAAAGTATGTCAAGCATCAAAGTACTTCGGACACAAAATCACCTCTTGTCAGGTATACTGTCTGTAGACTTCTTAATCTAAAATTTTGATTAGAGTTTGAATAATTGATTCTCACTTGGTCAATTTTCTAGTGATGCCAATCTAATTGTCTTGAATGGTGGCCTATGAAAGTGTGTTAACAACTTTAATAATTTCATAGGAAACAGATTGATCCTGAAACAACAAAATACTTCATGGAGATCACAAATCTTTTTGAAAGCAATGGGGTTGACTTGGAGGAAAGGTCGGTTATATGTGGTAATGCTCTTGAAGAAACCCGTGGGAAAGAATTAGAACTTGCAACTGATTATATCCTAAGCCATACCATGCAAACACTACTTGAGGGCTGTGATGTGGACCACCTTTGTGGCTTCCTCCGAGGTTGTGCTAAGGTCTTTCCTGCTATTGCAATGGACAGAGCTGGTTCTCATGTGGCTGAGACAGCTCTTAAGTCGTTGGCTATGCATCTTCAGGACTCAGAGACCTACTCAGTTATTGAAGAGACACTGAGTATGATATGCAAGGTACTGAGTTTATGATATTGTCACTTAACAGATACAATTTTGTTGTTCCTGTAAAGTTTGAATAAATAAATTGATAAATTATTTTATGCATTTATGTTGTGCCAAGAACTTGCCACACTGTACAGAAAATTAGCTCGGATAGTGAATCTTATTCTGCTTTCAAATGGAAAAATAAAAAGTGCTTGCTTGTTTCTCTTCAACTTCATGAACAAATTTTCTGAATTGTTCCAAGATAAAACTTCTGGAAAATTAGAGTTTTGCATTGTTTCTGCTGCTTTCTTCCCTAAACATTTCTTTATTCTCTCAGGTGATTGTAGGTAACCCCATTGATGTCATGTGTAACTGCTATGGATCTCATGTTCTTCGGAGACTTCTTTCTCTTTGTAAAGGAGTACCAGGGGATTCCTCAGAGGTTCATGGAGCAAAGGCATCAACGATACTAGCAGAGCGGTTGAATTCTAAGACATCTCAATTGGATGGGAATGATTCACAGAATCTTCATCAAGGATTTCCAGACTTACTTAAACTCCTAGTATCAGGGATGATAAACTGTACAAGAAAAGACATTGATTCCATTGTATTTGATCAGTACAGCAGTTTGGTTCTGCAGGCATGTCTTGACTTTGCCCTATTATTTTACTACATTTTCATTGTTCGGAACAATGTAGTGTCAGATAAGCAAAAACAAATTTCTGTACTATGGATTAAATCTCCACAGTCCAATGATTGCTAATATAGTCTGAAAAGTCTAAAATATTGCATCTGATTAAGAGAGTTGAGCAACCATTTTTTAAGTTGAAAATTTTAGAGATGATATATATTAATACCTGCCCTCTCTCAGTAGTGAACAAGTTTTCTGCATCTTGATGTCTACTCTGAGCTCAGTTTTCTGTTGTATTTAGGATGAGTGCTCATTTTACATGTCAAGTTCTATTTCCTCACATCATGCATTAACTCCACAGCTATCTTTTGGCACCTTTTTCTTGGCAGACAACTCTAAAGTTATTAGCAGGGGATGATGAAGAGTTACTGCAGATAATTCCAGTTCTTCTTGGCTGCAACACAGAAAATACAGTAGAAGGAAACCTAATTGAAATGTCCATTGTCAATGACCTTATAGAGTCGATGCAAGAAACTGCATATAGCCATTTAATGGAGGTAAGCAATCTATAATATGGTCTAATTTTATATTGTATATCTCTTTTTTATAACTATGGTATTTGGTGATTGTCTTTTTGTTAATCATGTGGCTTGTTCTTTTGAATGTGTAAGTAATACTTAAAGCATTTGAAGTTAATTCAATTCTTAAATGATCTTCTTGGAAGATCATAGTAACCACATTATGAATGTATTTACAAAATGTGAATTTGTCTTCCTGTTCCTCGTTCAATTGAAAAAGTTTCCAATTGTGGGGTCAATTCTACTACCTACGACGCATCTCGTTGCTGGTGTTTCACTCTAACCTTTAAGTTTGTGCACCCATAGCATTTTATATTGGCTGTGTTCCTTGAAATCTATGCAATTATGCAAGCATAATTGGAAAAAAGAACATTTATCAAAGTGCAATAGAATATGGATGCTTGAGTCATTCATCCATTGTTCTACTCTTATTTTTCAGTTTAGTCAGTTTTTCTTATGTGTTTTGTTCAACATTTGCAGGTAATTTTGGAAGTAGCACCCAAAAGCTTGTACAATGAGATGTTCACAAAAGTTTTCAGGAATTCATTATTTAAGCTATCATCCCATCATTGTGGAAACTTTGTTGTTCAAGCACTACTTTCTCATACCAGAGAAAAGGATCAAGTGCGTACTGTTACATCTTATTATGCATTGGCATTTCTGTCCCTTTTTTATATTTTTCAAAATCCTTTACCAATTGCTGATCTCTTCAGAGGATGTAGATATTATATTCTGCATAGTGGTTTTCTTTTGTTATTTGTAGTTAAAAAGTTACATATATTTATTTGCTCTTTGGTGTTTATTACTTTTTTGGCTGCAGTACCTTACAAATTCAGTGTAAGAAGATATTTCTAGCACCAGACAAGCTGATATGTTTTTCTTTTTTGAAAGTTACAATATTTGTTTCTCATTTTGCCTACTAGATGGAGTTCATATGGGAGGAACTTGGCCAAAAATTTGGTGACCTTCTTGGAATGGGGAGGCCAGGAGTTATTGCTTCTTTGATTGCTGCATGTCAAAGGCTTAATACGCATCAACAAAAGGTTTTGGATCAAAATGGCATTCATTTAATGTTTTCTATTTTCACTTAGTATTTGTGTGTGAGTTGTGGGATTCTATAATGGTAGGGCCATAGAATTATAGTTTTTCTTTTCATCAACCTGTTGAGGTGAAGATATTCTATTGCTATTTCCTATTCTGACATTTTGAAACTTCTACTGACGTAGAACGATTTCCCATTCTATCCTTAATGCATGTCTTTTTCTCCTTACAGTGTTGTCAGGCACTTGCAGAGGCAGTCAGTTCAAAGGATGGATCTCCGAAATTTATAGTTCCTCGACTTCTGTTTCTTGATAGTTACTTCAATTGTGAAGATAAGTCCAATTGGAATTGGACAAGTGGTGTCAAGATGCATATCATAGGTTCCTTGATTCTCCAGGCTATTTTTAAATTTGAAAATGTATGTTGCCTCTCCTTCATTTTAATTCCTTTTGCTTTCTTTTGCATTCTCACACAATGACTCATTAGTAATGGGTTAATGTGATTTGGGTGTTTTTAGCTACCCGGTAGAATTATTTTTATTAGCTTTTCTTATTTAAGGATTCCCCTGAAGAGAAAAAGAGATCGAATGGCTCAAAAAGATGATTCTCAAAATGAATTATTATTTTCACACAAAAAGTCTTCCTTTGAGCTTCAGTGCTCTAGCAAGCAAATAATATTTGGTATTTTGTCCTCCATTATGCTATCCTTTTTTTGGGTTCTGTAAATTTTAAAACCTTTGAGGAACTGATAGTATATTCATAAATGTGATGTAGCACTGCAGAAAACTATAATTATAATTCACCAGCATCTCAACATGATACTAACTCTGCAGCAAGTTGACTAATAAATTGACTGTTTTCAGCAAAAGCATTAATTGTAGGCTTCCCGACATTTATGTCCAATATTCCTTTTTATTTGCAGGAATACATACAGCCTTATATCATGAGCATTACATCCATGGAATCTGAACATGTCCTTGAAGCAGCTAAAGATGCTGGAGGGGCACGTGTCATTGAAGCTTTTCTTGATTCAAATGGTTCAGTGAAACAGAAGCGAAGATTAGTGGTGAAGTATGTCCAACTACTATTTCCAACTACTATTTCATTTCCCAGGAAGCTCTATCGATGAGTGGCTTGTTTTTTAATTAATAAAGATTTAACATCAGCTTAACTTATTGGGCCATTGTAATGGCGATTTATGTTAAGATTCAGAACTGGAATCATATTATTCATATAACCACACAAAATTAAGTTGGACTATAAAGTATATAAGTTTAGTCTGTGAAATTCAACACCACACATGCTAAGTGATTCTTTTATCTGATATAATAAAATTAGGCAAAAAAATGTGTTATTATTTGTTATTATATATCAGATGTTATTTATGACATACTTCTATTACATATATGTAGTTTTAGATGTTTATAGACTGTACCATGCTTAGGTTTTCACTGTTGAACATGTGGACAAGGCAGTCTGTAGTTGCCTATGGGACTAGTCGGACCAAAGGTCCAGATGCCCTAAAAGATATGTCATTATTTATTATATCTAAACATGTTCAGGTATGAATTCATTGAATGTTGGTAAATTGGGTTCTGTAGATTTCATCTCTGCCATAAGGGGGAGTGAGCCAATAGATGAATAAAACTGGTAATTCGACAGAGCCAACAACTTCTTGTTTACCAGGTGGTCAACCTAAAGTCCTATGTTCAACCCTGTCATCTCCCTTCCCCTCATTTCCAGTTGGCCAAAGAAAAGCAACTACAATTATTAGATGTTTTGAAAGAACTGGTTGCAGTTAATAAGTATTTGTTTGTTAGGAATGCTGGGTGTAAATGCTGGGTATTTATCTTGTAGAAATGTCAATATCATTTTAAACATTCTTTATGCATTTCCTTTGAGAACAACTCTCTTTATATGGAATGTTCGACCTATTATATTTGCCTTTTCTCAAATTTATATAGAATATGGAACTATCATTTACAATGCATAGTTAAATGCCTTGGTTTCCAGTGTGGCTCTATTAACTTCATATTTTTCTGTTGTTAATTACTCTTAAGGTTACGTGGAAATTTTGGTGAGCTTGCTATGCATCCGTCTGGTTCATTTACCATAGAAAGATGCTTCACCATCAGTAACATGTCCCTGAAGGAATCCATAGTATCCGAGCTAGTAGCTTTGCGAACTGAACTCTCCAAGACAAGACAAGGGCCTTTTCTTCTAAGGAAATTAGATGTTGATGGGTAAGTGGACTTCCATGTGTTGGTTTTGGATGTTAGACTCTAGCATCCAAAGTTGGTGAATAAAGTAAAATATATGTTGTGAGAAACTTAATATTATGACTTTTCTTTTATAAGAAGTACAGGAGTTATGTTTTATTTGCTTTTCTTGTATCTCAAATCAGTTGATGCAAGCCATTAATTCTTATACTCTGTTAAAGCAATTTTGCAGGTTTTTGTTTTGTTTAGTTTATTTGTCATATTTATACCTTTGCTTTACTTCCACAGATATGCTGCCAAACCTGATCATTGGAGGTCAAGATTAGAAGCAAAACAATCAGCTTACAAAGAATTCTACTCAACTTTTGGCGCTGCTGAAGACAAAACATCCAAAGAGGATACATTCCTATCTGATGCTTATAAGCGTTCACAGACAAAAGAATTGAACAACATGAGGAAAGAGATAGATGATCGCCTCACTTCTACTGCACCTTCTCTGGGTGTTTCAGAGAAAAACAAGAAATCAAAGAAGAGAAAGGATGTTCAGTCCGAGGATGCTAGTGGGTCCAGTAAGATGACAGAAAATGCTGTCAGCAACTTTTTATCCAGTGATCGGAGGGATAAAAAACGACATGGAAAGGATAGGCGATTCAATGCTTACAAGAAAATGAAAGCTTGAAAGTGTAAATGCTGTCAGCAACTTCTTATCCGGTGATCAGAAGGACAAAAAACCACGAGGAAAGGATAGGCCATTTAATGCTTCTAAGAAAAATGAAAGCTTGAAAATGTGAATGCCTTGGACCGTTTAATGATTTACAGATACCATGAGACCTTGACCGAAATGGCGTTCCTGAAGATACCTGACTCAAGCTGCATAACTGGAGGAAATATGTTATGTTTTGTGTTTCTGCTCTTGTTCTTTTTGTTGCCATTAGTTTTTCTTGTTACATCGAGTATTTTGTTTAAGATGGAATGTACCAATACCTTTCTAGCATAGAGATCAGAACTATCTTTTTACTTAAAAAAACAATATAAATTTACAATTTAACTGCAGAACTTGGCAGATTTTGGGAGCAACTTTGTAAATTCATGCTGTTGTCCAATACATATTGCATTTGAAGCACTACACTGCACCACACTGACAAACACTATAACAAGTATTTCATTCAAAGAAGAGGATCAATTTTCTACGGATTTTGCTCTTATTCTGTTTTCTGCCAACTGATGGAGGCTTTGTCCTGATACAAAAAATCACAGTATCATCATCTACTCTGTAAGTGAACTATGGTAAATTTGCTACTCCTAGAAAAGCATGGACACTGGATGTGATTACGAGAAGTTACTTGTTCTGTATAGGATTGGAAGTGCTTGGAGGTATTCGCCGGTTGTCTTGCTCATAAGCATTCTTCTCTTCTGCAGGAACACCTCCTAGAGCTTGAGAAGGTGATGCCGTGCTTGAAGTAGATAAAGATTGAACCACAGGTACGGGACGACCTTCCACTCGAACACTGCTCAGCCAGGTAGACAGAAGTATGGAGAGCAGAAGAGCAATTGCAGCCATTATAGAGCAAGCCTTCATATTTATTGCTAAAACTGTTTTCCCTAATGAGTTAAAAATGATTGAAAGATATCTTGAGTTGATGATCCTTTAGTTCCTACTTATATACTAATTACTTAATTAAAAATGCAACTGGGATCATGTGCTCTATATTGACTGTCAAATGTTGCAACTCTCTGTCAGATTTTGTAGACAGTGATGAAATCTCAGAAGGATCATGTGACCAGTCACATGATGAATGCTGATATTTCTTCTTGGAGACCTGAAAAAGGATTAGTTTTATACTGTAGGCAGCCCGTGGTTTCAGGTCAGTATACATTGCAGGTTTAACAGCTAGCTATTCAGAAGCAAAACTTTGCATTACCAATGACAATTTTTTTTAATACTTTTAGGGAGAATAATATCCTGAAAGTATTACTGCAAAGATATCAAAGATGATTGTGTATTTCTACCAAAAAAAAAAAAAGATGATTGTGTATGTTTCCGTTGCTGAATTTAAGAATGTATTGAGGGTTTACGTCCAAGGGAAGATCTTAATTAGTTGTGTGTGAACCTGTTGACTGTCATTTTAACAGGTCTTGCTTTGAAGATTAGCAGGACCAAGAACAAGATTCGTGTGCAAAGACAAGACCTACGTGTGTTGTGTAGTGTTTGTTTTGAATTTAATGACGCTTACCCTTTGACCGTTTGGTGGTTCAAAATTTCTTCCATCTTGGCGTTCCAACAGCGACTTTCGCTTAAAATATTTTTATCTCAAAAAACCCAGCTTTGATTGGAATTGCTGGAGTTGCTGTTAAGATAAGCTTGATGGCCACAGCTCTTTGGATTCCTTCTTTTTGAGGAAAAAAAAATTCAGACATTCACTGTTTTTGTCTAAATTTGAACATAAAAAATGGATAAATTGCTTGGCAGTTAGCAATTGCTTAGCTACAAAGTTTT